AGGGCTTTTTTTCAATTCCTGGAGAGCATTTTCAGCCTTACATATCTAGCTGAAGTTATGTTTATTGATACATGCTTTTAGCATCTGGAATAACGCCATAGCATTATCCATTGATCATGCTATGAATCGTCTCAAAGCAGTGATTTTCCCACTCAGGGCTTGCATCTCCTTTATGCTTCATGGTTCTATTGTTTCTAGAAAAATCAACAATAATTTCTAGGTTTGGCTATATTCCTTCCCTTGATATGTAGTATCCTAAGAAGTTTCCTGCTTGTACCCTATATGTACATTTTGTTAGGTTTAGTTTTATGTGTACTTTCTCCAATGTTTGTAGGGCTTCTCCAACATTTTGTAATAGTTTTTGGTCATCTTGTCTTTTGATGACCATATCATCGACGTATACCTCTATATTTCTTCTGCTATAATCTTTTAATACTTTGTCTACAAGTGGTTCATAGGTGGCTCCAACACTTTAGAGCTGAAAAGGCATCTTAGTGTAGCAAAACGTTCCATGATTAGCTTAGAATGCCCTTTTCTCTTCATCTTTCTCATTTTTTTATCGGGCTTGCCGTTGGTTGTAGGTTAAGCTCGTGTTAGATTATCTTCATGTCTATCCCTACCATATTGTTGGGTTTTAGTACACTACAACATCCTATGGTGCACATACAACCCTAAATACCTTGGATCTATGTTTTCACTAATTATACGTGCAAATGGTTTCCAAGGTATTAAACCTACAACTAGCATGCATTTGATATAAACCATATAAGATACAAGTTAGGATAACATACCTTTCAATGGAGCTTGAAGTCTTGATGTATTTGGCCTTAAAAATCTTAGCCCGAATAGTGTGGAAGCCTCAAATGGAATCACAACACATCATGGACAAAGGAGAAACTTGAGAGAGAGAGAGAGAGAGAGTTCCATGAACCCCAAAACACCATGAACTCCAAAAAATACACTTGTTGCGATTTTTGGCAATGAAGTATGTATTTATATGTGGGATTTCTAGAGTCATGGATATAACCCAAAACCATACCCATAGGTTTTATGATCCATGGTTCATGTGGCCTAACTCTTTATGTATCCATACATAAACTTGGTTCAACATGGATCATAAGCCCAACACATATAAATATAGCTAATTAACGTAATTAGTCCTTATATATTTAATTAGCCTCTTTGGATCACTAAATTAATCCAAATTAATTCTTGATCAATACTAATTAACTCATATGATTTCATATTAATATATTATAACTTATAATATTAATAAATCATATATAACCTCTTCTCTCAAAAGTCTATCCTAACAAATTGTCCTGATGATATGTAACCCAAATGGACCATGCGACTCTCGCATCAAGTACATAACAATCATAGTTATGCGCTTAGACATCTAATCTAATAGTCTCCCACTTGGATAAGTCTAAAACTATTATTGCAAATATGACTTGAAAACTCGACTAGCAATCGTAGCTCTTAAAGCCACTGTCGAACTCTGAACAAATCAATAACGCGTCCATTAGATAAGTGATCATATATATTCCTCCATTCTATATATCAAATGGAGTGAGATATGGATTATAATCCCTCTCTTTGTCCATTTTTTGTTTCTTGATTTTCGATTTATGACAACTGAGTAATTGAACAAATCAAATTAGTCCAGGCTTGGCTAAGCACTTAGGGGTGTCATCACTAAATCATCGAGGGGCCCACATATATCGCTTTTATCCTTATGAGGTAAAAGGAATGGATACAATTCGACTCATGTGCTTGTACTAACTAGTTGTTGAATCATACACAAAGGCATGTTTTATGACATCAAGTTACTGATGCTTTTTCGTACAATCAATGTATAACCAAGTCATAGTCAACAACTCATATCTCTAGGTTTGAAGAATATAAATATTAACATCTCATGATTCACTCGTGATAAAATCCATGAAGTGATTAAAATGAGTATGGGTTTAATTAAATACTCGAATCTTATTCCGAGAGCACTTATGAAGACTGCAACTAAGTCTAGCCACCTAGACAAATTACAAACCCATTCATGATAGTCTTGCCTCAGTACGTACTTCGAAAGTATGATTGACTATGGACGGTTTGTATATCCTATTTATTAGGGAAGTCAAAACATGAAAAGTGAAACACAAGAATAATACTAATCATATATGGCCCCAACACTTTGAGAGTAAATAAAAAACACCTTTTATCTAAGCACAATATTGATTACTCAGTATTCATGTAATGTTTCGAATTATCAACTTAATACTTGAATTAAAACAATAGTCATGCCATGCTCCAAGCATGTACACTACGTTTATCTTTGGTCCTTTCTTTTGTGAAATAGATCAATCGAATACGACTCTAATGGTGCTCATTTCACATTCCCAATCCCTTTTTTAAATGTATGAATACCAAACTCTTGCCATTTATTGTAATCTGTTAGATTCTAAACTTATATGCAATGATTCTCTTGTAAAGACTATGCACAAAAGTCACAAAGACTTTGCAATAGACATTACAAAGTATTCAAATGGAGATCAATTCCATGGAAACAAATGCTCATATTCAAAGTACATTCCTTTTAACATACTTCTTTGCATTAAGTTTTCTAATCTTACATAGATTCAGAGAATAACTTCTACCTATGGAAACAATTCCATATCACCATTTTGACTATCACTACTAAACAAGAGTTGCCTCTTTTCAGAATATGTCAATATGGTACTTTCCAAAGTTTACATTATACTTCCAATTGTCCACGAGCAACCAATCTATGGTAAGCCTCAGATTGTCCTCGACAATTGTTTAATCTTTTAGTCATATCTATTTCTATTCCTTTTTATTTGCCATGTTTTCACAATTCAAACTATGAAGAGGGATGCCGTAATCATAATTAAATTTTGAGAACGCAACATATATATAATTTCCTTCTGTTGAACCATTCCAACATAACATTCATATATATTCTTTGACTAAAGTTGATTAAAATCTCAATCTAAGTTTGTAGAATTGGAATGAAGTATAAAATCCTCTCCCTTAATTACAGCAAAACAACTTTTCAAACCCAAATTGAAACTTTTGTTGTTTATAATTAACATTACTAACCTACAACACATAACATAGTAATCATGCTCCCACTAACATGATGATTATTAACATAACACTTATACTCCCACTAGCTCTTACATGTATCCAGAAATCAGATAGACTTCTTGAAATCAATACTTTATTGACTTTCTTACCAAAGTTCAGATTTCTAATACAAGATGCTTTGATAAGACTTTATCAGAATCATACAGCTTTCCTTGGATATATCACATGTATGTATAAACAATTATGACGAGGGATGCTGTAATCATAATGTTTATAGATTTTTCCATTCTCACAAGTCCATGTTGGTGTGCCGATTAACCTCACATGCTCCACCAATAACTTTGAGAATGCAAATATCACATTTGCTATCTACTTAAAACCTACTTAGTGAAGGCGTTTCCTCACCATCATTTTCATGGATTGGAGAGAAACCTTATGAGACTTAGATTTTCTAGTGTATGTGTTCCTATGCATGTGAATTTGTCATAACTATAATCTCAACGCAAGATTAGTGACATATACAAACTCATATGGACTGAACCTGCCCAATCTCATTTTCTTGCCACCTGGCAGCACAAGGGCCTACCATTGCTTCCAATTTGTTATGAAAACAATTGAGAACTTATAGAACTCAAAAGAATAGTCTACCTAAATTGGAATAGGCATAGAAACAGAAATATGTCAACATAATGGGTTACAAACATCAAGTTCTGCGATAGCGACTAAATAATAGGTCTTATTCTTGATTAGTTCTTGAAACTTTTCCAAGATCATTAAAACCCCCACTGTACTCTTTACATATGAGATCCTCTTATCAAGAACCATTCCTTGACAAAACAAATATTTAGGAGTTAGCGTGGATGCTTATCAAGATAAACACTTCTCACAATTTGGTCTTAGTTGGTCTCTATTTTATCTAAAAACATCACAACATACCAATTTTAAATGTAAATTTGTAAGAAACATGTTACTCTACATTTGACAAGTGTTATAAATCTTCTTAAAGATGCGTCACTCAAGTTACAATCCTGGAGTATGACTCTAAGACTTGTGTTGGAACCAAGTATGACTAATCTTCTTGATCTAACCACTTCAATAATTCATGACTCCTCTTCTTAGCCATAGGAAGGCCCTAGGATGTCCTTAGAGAATGAATTGTGATATGGTCGATCACTACTAGAAAACAGCCCTTTAATGACGCACAAACAATGACACGCGGTGATTTACGATACGCAAAAGTGTGTGCCCTAAAAATAATGTTATCTCTTCTAAAATTTGAAGGATAGTGGACACGCTTTTATGCGTGCCCTAAAATTAATGTCGAACAATAAAAAAATAAAAACACGGAGGGCACTTATTTAAAATGGGTGACGTCTAGAAATGTCGCTTTATATTTTTTTAATGAAAGGCGCATTCTTTTCTTTTGCAGCTGGGGGGAAACGAAAATCCCAAAAGTTTGAAAGGCCGCCATGGTTACCCTCTGCCTTATTTCCATTGTTCTTCTTCTTCTTCTTCTTCTTCTTCTTCTTCTTCTTCTTCTTCTTCTTCTTCTTCTCTCTCTCTCTCTCTCTCTCTCTCTCTTTCTTTCTCTGTCTCTCTCTCTCTCTCACTCTTGTTACCCTCTCCCTTATTTCCATCATTCTTCTCTCTCTCTCTCTCTATCTCTTTCTCTCTCTATCTCTCTCACTCTAATACCCAAAAAAACCCTAATAACATCACCAATCCTCTTTTTTTCCACAACAAAATCGCAATATAATCCCGTCTTTTGAACAGATGAAACCCATAGGGTTCTCGACGGAAGAGATACAGCTTCATACGAGCCCTAATTTCTCATCTGAATTTGTATGGCTTTTTCAAGAATCATTCTACCTAGGGCTTTTTCAAGAAAATTCAAAATGCTCTCCGATTCTCGATCGGTTCTCCCAGGCCTCTACAACAATCGACGATCTCACTTCAGGCTTACTTCTTCTTCAGTGAGCATAGGATCACCTCCCCGCGACCATCCTCCTCGTCATAAAATCATCCAGCTAGGGATTTTTCTTCTCGATCTCTTCAGGTCCGTCCTCCAAAATAAGGAAGAAACTATTTTGATTTCTCCCCTTAAACCTGGACGACCATGCTCCTCGCTTCCACCACTATCCTAACATGTCTTCATTGTTCCTCCCTCGGTCTCTTCCATCAGGTAAGTTGTTGGACCATCTCACCTACTCATTTTTTACTATCTTTATTCTCGCTCTCTTTTTTCTTGATTTTTCTTCTCCTTTCTCTGTTCTCTCTTTTATGTTGAATGTTGTTGGCAGTTAGAATCCAGGGGAACAATAGAGGAGAGTCAAATGGTAGTGGTACACCACCACATTTAGGTGTAGGTGTAGGTTAGGGAGGGTTACCAACACCAAAAACCCTCATCCTATCCCAAAGCCCTCATGAAATCGACTCAATGTACATCACCATGCTCAGAACCACTGAATTCTTGGGTAAAACCACATCATCGAGGTATGTGTTTTACATCTAATTTCACCTATGATATTTCAATTTTTTTAGTTATAAATGATCAAATTTAAAGATTTCTCTGTTTGGATCTTCTAATTTCTCATTTCTACTGGTAGATTGAAAACGAGCCTGTATATTTTATAAAGGGTAAAATGGTAACTGTCATTCCTTGAAGAGATGGAATGAAAAAAATAAAGGTCTCATATGGTATGGAATGACATTCCTTCGTTAATGCTTTTTTCCTTTCCAGTTTATCAACCAAGCAACATTTTTTACTTGTAACTTTATCAAAATGTTATTTTAAATCATAGCCTTTATTAAAGTGTTGGTTGACTTTTTATTGCTATCTTTACTTCTAACTTTATCTTTAGCCATTAATATAGTAGTGGGTTGATTTAATATGTGTTTTATACAGAAGCAGGATAATTTGGGAGAAAGGGTTATGCCTTTAGCTTTTGATGTTATATCTCGACTTCTAGAAATAGCCCCAGTGAGTTTTCATTTAGTGAATCAGCCATTTTATATTTGTTTTCATTCTATTCCTTCTTATAAATGAATTATAATCATCTGGAAACAGGGATGGAGACTTGTTTCACCACTTTTCATCTTTGCTGGAGTCTGCAATTTTTCCAGCAATAGTTATGAATGAAAAGGTTTGATAGTTATTGCTTTATTATTGTTGTTTGTTATTATTATAAGTATTATGATGGTTGTTAATTGAAAATGCATTTGCATCAAAATCCTAACTGCAAGTAAGTAATGTTTACATTGAAATAATTTCTTCTTTTGGAGTAGGATATTATGGAGTGGGAGGAAGATTCAGATGAGTACATAAGAAAAAATATCCCTTCTGAACTTGTATGCACTTGTTCAAATTGTTTATTGGTTATATGAATTCAACCAATAGAAACTAATTGTGAGCTATTCAAATTGTTTATTGGTTATACAAATTCAACCAACAGTAACTAATTGTGAGCCTATGAAGTATTATGATGGTCAACAACATGTAAATGAAGAAGAGGTTGTTGGTGAGGCAGTTGAAGATTTTGTTTTGCAAAAACTTCAAAAGGTTTGACTAATTGACTTTCACTTCAATGTATCTTTAATTCTTGATTTTCCTTTTTGACAGAATAACTTATTCCTTTTTTTTTTTTTTGCAGGGTACTGAGAGACAAAAATGAGTTTTTGCAGAATATCTAGAATTAAAATTTCAATATTGCTACTAGAATATGAGTACATTGATTATGTTATGATAGAAAGATTGGTGACAAAATATCTATAATTTAAATTCCAACATAACACATGAAAGGAGAACAAGAAGGATGTTTCTATAGAAGAACTGTTGTCAATTTCAATACGTAAGAATATCGTGAATATGGGCAGCTACTTTTTTATTTTTAGTTTTTAAATTTTGTTACAGATAAATGAATGGGAAATGGATTGTGGATGACAATTCAGAATATAGTGGCCATACAAGGGTAAGCATTTTGAAATGTTATAAGTTTTTTTTTAATATTTATATTATTATTATTATTACTTTTAAATATTTGCTATAATGTTTGAATTAACTTTTTTCTTTCTTTGTTTTAATTTTTGGTTGAATTGTTTATATTCTGCAGCATATGGGTGATTTTAATTATCCAAGATTAGCTTACTTTGTTGCTGCAATATCTGGTTCAAACAAAGTACGATGCCAACAAGTGCTTGAAGAGCTAGATGTAAGTTACATTTAATGTTCCATAATGGTTTTCTACTTCTTTTTGCCCAAAAAAGTTTCTCAAATACTTGGTTCTCATTTTTCCATTATATTCAATCTAGGTTTACAAACAGTTGAGACTTAGTCTTGAGTTATTAAAGAAAGAAATGGAGATACAAAGGATTCTGATAGATTCAACAATGCTTGGGGTTTATGATAGATTCAACAAGGGTCTATCAGATTCAAGTAAGTCCTGGTAGCAATTTTAAGTACTTGCATTCTTATTATATTATAACCCTCACATTTTCCCAAATTACCCCTTCCTATACATTTTTTTTTATTTCAATATATTTTGTGCATCAGGTAAAGTTGATGGAAGAAAGGAATATGAAGCCACTTGATTTAAATCTTGCAGCATTATCAGCAAGATGCAGTAAAGACTTGGCGTTGAATTTGGCTAAGTCATTATTGAGTGAGATGGGCCAATGTACAACTGCTTATCCATATAATCAGCTATTTAGAGCATTAGTCTTAATGAATTATGAAAGGCAAGGTGCAACTTTACTTAGTTGGAATTTGATGTACATAGTAGATTAGATCCAATTGGAATGATTATTTGTATGACATTAACTTTTGTGCAATGTATTGTAATTTTTGAATATGGTATTTTATTTTCTATTATGACAAATGATATGCAAATGTAATTTGAAATTCAGTAAATCTAGAAATAATTAAAAAAAAAAAATTAAAATTACGATACGCAAAAATGTGTGTCGTCTTCATTTATGACATGACCTTTCTTGACAGGGGCTTCCTTGATACACAATGCGTGTCATAAACACGCGCGTCGTAAGGTTACGACACACAAATGCGTGTTGTCTTCCTTTATGATAGGGCCTTTCTTGATACGCATTGCGTGTCGTAAACGCGCGTCGTAATTGCACGTCGTAAATGGGCGTCGTAAATGCGCGTCGTCTCTCTTTATGACATGGCCTTCCTTGACGCGCATTTGCGCGTCGTCTGAGCCCTTTACGACGCGCAATGAGCATCGTAAAAGGCTGTTTTTCTAGTAGTGACGTCCCACAATCATTAAGATGATCATAAAACATGATACTAAAGTACTCTCCCATCTTTTAAGATTTGAGAAACTTTTATCTTTTTGCTAAATTTGATTATTCTCATTCGTTCTGCCATACATTGAAACTTTTCCAATGCTTCAGAATTATACTTAAACTTGTAAGTATAACCATGTTTACTAAACTTTAGAAAATCATGATGAATAATCTTATCAATATTTTGTGGTGGACTTGACTAGTGCACAAGAACGTGTAGTCGATCCCTTAGTCGTTCACTTGACTCACATATACATGTGAACAAGGAATTAGTCTTAATTTACAAAAGATGAAAATTCCCATTCATCATACAATACAAGTTGCATGATTCCAAGTTTCTATCGAACTGAAACTTGGGCAATGAGAATCTTTTCTTATTTGGTAAATTATGACTCTACCACGAATGAAAGAATCAAATCCATTTTCCAATTTTGCTATCAAAAGGAAACATATAAATGACGATTTTTCACAAATGCCATTGTAAGGATAATTAAAATAAATAAAATCAAAACCTTTTATTTTATTTTAAAACTTGCGGAAAAACTTACCATTATAATGAAAACATGTTGTTAACTATTCCTAAGCAATCTATCATAACTCTTAAGTAGGAGCTCAAAATTCTGAACATCGAACCATGCGATCGAAATCCATCTATCCACGATCAGCATCAGCTTCCTCTTTCTTTAAGCTTCATTACACTTCTTAGATTTTACAAAACATCAAAATGTAATTAAATTACATCATGTATCGAGAAGCCCCAAATAAGAATTTAATAGAGTTAGATAGTGGACTTTACCTAAAGTAAAGTCAAACCTTTTTGACTTTACCATCCCTATGATCTTTCAGGTATATTTGGTAGCTTCACAACCAATGCCCCTTATTTTGGCTAAAGAAACATGTGGAATCTTTGAAAATGGTACACTTGATTATCCAGACTTATCCTTTCTCTTTACCATTGAATGAAACGACTTAACCATGGTCGATACCTTTCCATTGGGAAGATAAAGGTTTTCTGGACTTCCAATGTCACCATTGTCAATGTCCAAATAGGTTTGGAAGTTAATATTCTAATCAAATTTGATTTACCAGTCCTCCAAATCATTAATGATTCAGCAACACCAAGCAAATAGATAAGATCATTAAGGGTGATGTCATAGTGTGTTTCATAGTAGTCCCAAAGGAAACTCACTATGTGACTTAGAAAGTGATTGAACAACCAACTTTCTCAAGAATTTGACACCCAAATCTCCTGGCTTGTCAATATGTGACTTCATCTCCAAGATATGAGCACACATAGACCTTGCTTGCCAATAGGGCTTGCGTGACTTTGAACTATACAAGAACTTGTGGTTTAGGGAGAATAGTTGGAGGAGGTGGAGGAAGTGAAGTATGATTTCCATGACCCAACCATAGGAAATCATCTTCATTAAGAAAGCTGTTCCAAAAGGACGAGGAAGACCATAGTTGTCTGAACTTAGACATCTATAAGGGAGAAATTCAAGTTTCAGTTGATTTAAGTCCTTAACATAACACCCAATATGAAATATTAAGGCTAGGACCCAACAATCTATTTTATAACTTGGAAGAGGGATGCCCCAATCCAAGCTACAAAATATTTGAAGGTAGGTAAATCACGATTTACCAATTTCCACCATGAAAAAAAATTATTAAGTTTTAATTGGATTAAAACTCCTAGATCCTTTGAGATTCATTAAACTTTCAATGGCCAGTTTAAATCTCGATTGTGCCCTTTCAAGTTTGTGACTAGGATGCTGAGGATCCCAAACAAGGTGCGAATAACCATGCAAATTGACTTGGCACCCTTAATTTTATCACCCAATCGATGTGTCTGTAAACCACACACGCTCCACCGATCTTTGATAAAACTTATGTCACCCTTTTTCCACACATTTTCAGTCCCATGTTAGTGTACCGGTTAACCACACACGCTCCACTAACAACTTAACTAAGGTGCAAAGTGTAATTTCATGGGTTAGCACCATTTCACATTTTCCTAAGTAACTAAGATTAGGAATTTATAAGTGTTTATTAACTTAGTATTTATCATTATACTTTTAATGAAAGGAGAATTATAGTCCATTCCTACCCGTTCGGCTAATGACCCTCCACTAGTCAAGGAAGCGGTGGGTGAGAGTGGACACCCATTAAACTGCCATTTTATAGGCAGTAACCTTATACCCCCTTACAGACTGGCTTCGTGAATGAGGCCTACTAACGGTAATACTGACTTTTAATCTTATATATATATATATATATATATATATATATATATATATATATATGTATATACTAACTTTTAATATTATAATAGCATAAGGGTGTATTTTACACATTTAAAATACTTGGTAGTTTAATCTTATTAATTAAACTATACTCTTAATTTAATTACACTTAAACCATATCTTTATGGAATTATTAACTCCTTTAATTAAACACTTTAATTAATTTAATGAAATCCACAAAGTTTGAATTTTAACTTTTAAAATTCTACAGTTTAGAATTAAAGTCTACATGGGGGGTGACTTTACAAATTCCAAAACTTAATGGCAAGTTTTGAAATTTTTCTAAACTCTTGGATTTTCATAACTTATGAGTTTAATTATGGTTTAAACCTTTCAAGTTCTATAATTCGAGGATAAGTTATACAAGACATAAAATCATTTAATGATGGCATTAAAATAGTGATTCTTCCATTTTCATAACCTATGAGAGTTAATGTACTTTTAAATGAAAAACTCTTCATTTTCCATAACTTGAGGACAAGTTATGGAGTTCCTAAAAACATTACGATCAAATTAACAATTAACACATTAATAAATTAAGTTTTCTATGAGCAAGATCAAACTTATAAGTAAAGACAATTCATATCAACATTTTTCAAGAACATAACTAATCACAAAAATTAACATAAGTCTTGAAACTTTGACAATTATCCTTTATTTAGATGAGAATGTTCATTACCATAGTACCAAAATTTTTTTTTATGAACAAAAACACTTTGTGGTAATGATTCTAATTGAAAACAGACCAAAAAAACACGAATATATGCTGTCAGGGGGTCCAACTCGTCGAGTGCATGAACAAACTCTACGATTTGGATGCATTTGTACATGGACTCGTTGAGTCACACACTGGACTTGTTGAGTCTGCTGTCCAGACAACAAAAATTTGGATTTTTTTTTCAGTTAGTTGCATCAAGTATAATTGAAAACAACCCATGGTTCCGATATCACTATTGGATTTTAGTACACTACAACATCCTATGGTGCACATACAACCCTAAATACCTTGGATATATGTCTTCACTAATTATACATGCAAATGGTTTCCAAGGTATTAAACCTACAACTAGCATGCATTTGATATAAACCATATAGGATACTAGTTATGATAACATGCCTTTTGATAGAGCTTGAAGTCTTGATATATTGGCCTTAAAACTCTTAGACCCAATAGTGAGGAAGCCTCAAGTGGAATCACAACACATCATGGACAAAGGAGACACTTGAGAGAGAATTCCATGCACCCAAAAACACCATGAACTCGAAAAAATACACTTGTTGGGATTTTAGGCAATGAAGGATGTATTTATATGTGGGATTTCTAGAGTCATGGATATAACCAAAATCCATATCCATGGGTTTTATGATCCATGGTTCATGTGGCCCTAATCTTTATGTATCCATACATAAACTTGGCTTGACATGGATCATAAGCTTAAGACATATAAATATAACTAATTAACATAATTAGTCCCCACAAATTTAATTAGCCTCTTTTGATCACTAAATTAATTTCAAATTAATTCTTGATCAATACTACTTAACTTATATGATTTCATACTAATATATTATAACTTATAACATATTAATAAATTATATATAACCTCTTCTCTCAAAAGTGTATCCTAACAAGTTGTCCTGATGATATGCAACCCAAATGGACCATGCTACTCTCGGGTCAAGTACATACCAATAATATTTATGGGCTTATTCATCTAATCCAACAAATATCTACTGATGTCAATGAAAATACATGTTTGTACTTTCTTAAGAGTCATATTATCTTTTCTCTTATCTTTGGGTGATGTTTTGTGCCAACTTGTGTTTGCTATCTAGGAAAACTATCATCGATCACATCTTTTTCCTTTGGGGTCTCCTCACGCTTTTGCTTTTCTCCCCTGTGTATTTTTGTTGTCGCCATGACGTGGTAGCATTGGCGTCTTGAACAGTTTTCTGCCATTACGATTGATGGCCCTTCTTGTTTGA